ATCTATCTATCTATCTATCTATCTATCTATCTATCTATCTATCTATCATCTATCTATCCTTATCTCTCTCTCTCTCTCTCTCCTTACCTATTTTTTAGGAAAGCCCAAGAAGAGATGATTTCTGAGCTCAGGCAGCAGAAATTTTATCTGGAAACCCAGGCCGGGAAATTAGAAGCGCACAACAATAAACTGGAGGAACAATTGGAAAAAATCAGCCATCAGGATCATGCCGACAAGACTCGCCTCCTGGAGTTGGAGACGAGGTTACGAGAGGTAAAAAAACAAACCGTTGAATATTCTTACCGTTCACCGTACCAATTAAGGACCATTTCTTTCTTAAAGACGCCCGCCAGTCCTACAAAATCAGACAGGGTGGGCAGCTTCCTAGTCCCTTTCCCTAAACCAGGGATGTTCAAACTTGACAGCTTTTAAGACTCCCAGAAGAATTCAACTCCCAGAATTCTTCCTCCAGTCATCTTAGCTCAGGAATTCTGGGAGTTGAAGTTCACAAGTCTTAAAAGCTGTCAAGTTTGAAGACCCTTGCCCTAAATATTGCCACTGGATGGGAGTTAGGAAGTGGGCTTTTGGCCGTGGCAGCCTCTACCCTTTGGACGACTCTTTGAGGTTCAACAGGCCTTCACCCTTCTGGCTTTCCATAATATCTGGCCCAAAGGTGCTTTTTTTGTTTTCAATAGGAAACTGGACTTTCTTGAGTTTTTTCTTTTGAAGACGTTTTGCTTCTCACCCGAGAAGCTTCTTCAGCTCTGATCTGGATGGTGGGGAATGGAAGGATTTATACTCCTTGCAGACAGCTGGTCATTTGCATCCCTTTTAGAGGGTTGTTGAGGCCACTTGGAGGTTTCTCTGTGTCCTACAGGAACCATTTGCACCATTTAGGAAGCAGCCGGGGCACCTGCTTAAAGGTGCGAGGAAGTCCTTTCAGAGGGGCTCCATTGACATGGGCAACAACCCCTTCAAAATTAGCACTGTGGATACGTGTTTTTATAAATAATAACAACACATAATTACAATCCAGTAACAATATTAATAATAGACTATTATGTCTTATATACTATAGATAACAGGTAATTTACAAGATATAGGAAGTAACTGCCACTACTATGAAATATTTAAATCACTATCAAAATGTATTAGAGAAAAATACGATTAATATAACTATAGAACACGTGGTGATGTTTATTTGTACGACTTTTTACCTTTTATTGTTTGTATATTTGTATATTTTAATTTTTTGTATTTAATAACGTTTTTTAATTTTTAAAAAAAAAAAAAACTAGCACTGTGGCCCAGATGAAAGAAATGAATTTCCTGTTAATCAGATGGCATTGAGTCTGTTTCTCAAGTGCCAGACATGTTGGCAGGGCGAAAACAGACAAAAGGCTGTGGAGGGGAAGAAAACTAACAACATTTGTGATCATCTGTGGCTTCCTGAGATTGATTCTGATAGGTTAGAGCTGAAATATGGAAGTTCCCCTTCTTCCACATTTGCATTAACCAGTAAAATGAGGAGAGTCAGATTGTCAGGGACAATAGGCCGACTCTAACCGCTTAGAGGGGGCTGTAAAAGTTTTTAAAAAGACGTTGGATAACCTGAAGTGGTGTGTAGGGTTTCTTGCCCAGGCAGGGGGTTGGGCTAGAAGACCTCCAAGGTCCCTTCCAACTCTTCTCTTCTCTTCTCTTCTCTTCTCTTCTCTTCTCTTCTCTTCTCTTCTCTCCTCTCCTCTCCTCTCCTCTCCACTCCACTCCACTCCACTCCACTCCACTCCACTCCACTCCACTCCACTCCACTCCACTCCACTCCATTCCTCTCCTTCAGGTTAGCCTTGAACACGAAGAACAAAAACTGGAGCTGAAGCGACAGCTTACTGAATTGCAGCTCACCCTCCAGGAGAGGGAATCTCAGATTTCTGGGTTGCAAGCGGCCAGGGCAGCCCTGGAAAGTCAACTCCGGGAAGCGAAAACCGAATTGGAGGAGACCACGGCTGAAGCGGAAGAAGAGATCCAAGCGCTGACGGTAAGCTTTTGAATTCTGGGCCAAGGTCTCCTCCCCCGTAGACCACGTCTCTCCGTTATCCTCTCCTCCCTGCGTGCCCTAGGATGGAGAATGGATGGGCCTGGGTCCTCCTCTGATTGCTCAGCCGGCCTCTGCCCTTCCCCAGCCTCCTCCACAACCTCTGGAGCCTCACTTCCACTCCCTGTTGGCTGTTCCTCCTCTCCCTCAGAGTCAGTCTCCACCAGGGGCATGACACCCAACTAGGTGACAACATCAGTGCAAACCCCACTCCCGTCTAGACCTGATGACTGGGTAACGAAACATCTGCAAGAAAGCTACCAAACTCAGCGACCCCCAAGGACCCCACCCTGAGCTACAAAGATTCTCTGATGTTGATGTCGTGTTTGTGGTGGGAATGAACGTTTCTTGCAAAGGTTGCAAACGGCAGGCCCGGTATACATACGTGCACAGCTCAAACAGCCCTTGGAAGACCTTGGATCCTGAACCAAGGATAACCTTGGTCCTAGAGCAGGGTGTCCTGACCCAGCTCCTCAAGCATGACAAAGCCAGTCGAAGCAATGATTCCTTTATTAGGAGCGCCGGCAGCCCCGGCACAAAAGTTTCTCTCTCAGGCTGGCAAGGCAGATCGGCCGGGAGATGAATGGTTGTCTGCCACATCTATTCATCTCCGCCCCCTGACTTTTATCCCCAGAGCTAGGGTGGGGCCTCGCTAGCAGTGGTGGCTCTTCTGTCCCAAGGACCGGCCCATAGATTTCCACTGCTCTCCTCTCCTCTGCCTTCTG